GTTTACTATAGATTAATTTGTAATAATTATTAGATAAATAAGATTTTAATTTATAAAAATGTAATATAATAACTAAGTAGTTATATTGGATATTATTTAATATTTTTTTTTTTATAAATAATATTGTATATGTACAATTTGAGAGTGTAACTTTGAACTTATAACCTAAAAAATATCTGAGTAAATTTTATTTATATTATAATAATACTTGTTCACGTCTTATTAATATTATGCAATTTTTAATTACTTAACTACTCTAATGATATTTACTATTGATTTTGATTTCAGTTATTAGCAAAATTGAGGCCAACTGAGTTATATTTTAATCAAGCTGGAGGCGTCCGGGGTAAAAAAGCTACTTCGTGAGTCATCTCATTTGAGTAGACAAGCCTCGAACAAAACCTGTAGTGTTTATACTTTAACAGGTAATATATATTAATTTTACAAGAATCACATTAAGGGTATAGACATATTAATTATATATAAAAGTTGTACATAGTAATTATTATGCTTTTTTATATTCAAATATCCTATCATAAACCATTTTGATTCTGTTGCTGTTTGGTTCATGTCCAAAATTTACAGGTGCCAAATATCTAGTGCATTTTATGCCGGTATTTTTAAGCAACAACGTCACAGTCTGTCAGCGATAGACGGTGTTTAAACAGTTTCATTTACATGTTTAATAAAATTTAATTGGCTACTTTAATTTTAATTTTAATTTTTTGATAATTTAAGTATGTAATACATGTTTTAAACAGTGTAAACTTCCTACATAAAAGCAGGGGATAAAATAATAACAATAATAATGTTGATTAATTTTAAAATATCTAGTGCACAAAAGAAAACTGTCTGCATTTTGTAACTGGAACTAATTCTGATCAAAAATTTCCACTTCATTGATTTCTTAACCGCATTTTCTCTAACATAGACATATGGAATGGTAGTTAAGTTTGTGCGTTCTTCTTTTATATCATCTATTCAGTTTATTTAAGAAATAATTTGTTATACTTCAAAAGATATCATGCTTCCTTTATGTTTTACCAGATTGTGTGATCGTAATCAAGGTGTGCATAAACAATTTTACATTTTATGTTTTTTAATTGTTTTACAAAATGTGTTAGATTTTTATGTTTACAATATATCTACTTAGGCTTGTTTTAGTAGTGATATTCAAATATATGTATATATATATATATACTTATTAATCAAAAAGAATTTGGTAGGTTTTTAATTATTTGAGGCAATGTTTCCTTGGCCTGACGATCATGTATATCGACCACAATTTAAAAACAAAGAAAACAGATTTGATCAAAGACAACAAGACATTTTAAATACTTGGGAATCAGGTAGGTCTGCCTAGTAAAAAAATCAAATGTTCAGTGACTAAATTGTTTGGATTTTTTTATTTATATTAACAGCTTTTGTTTTGGAATATATGACTAGACTTATGTTGAATAATTTATGAAAATGTCATTTGTACTAGGTAACAGCTATATGTCACAGAATTTGGACAAACACCAATTTAGTGTCTACTTAACTCATAATTTTAAATGATTTATTATTACTGCTTATTGCTTTGAATACTATTTCAAATTGATTCTTTGATTTGAATTAGCAAACTATTTTGTCGCTAAAATTGTTACTAACTGAAATGAACAAATTTAATAAACACTTAAAAGATATATAATATTCAAAATATTCTTGTTTCATATATTATAGAAATAAGTTTAACTTAATTTAGTGATGACCATTTTATTTTTAGAAATATGCAGTAATGATGAACTTCCAGAAGTTGAGTTGATCAGTTTGCTGGAAGAAACCATACCACAGTACAAATTGAGGGCAGACACTTTAACACAATATACTGGTAAGAAATAAAATCATTTGATTTGATTTTTTTTATTTATAATATTATTTATTAATTATAAATTCTTTGTTAATGTTTGCATTAAATTCCTATAAAATTATTTAATTAAAAAAAAAGTTTATTAAATTTGTATATTGTATACACATATTATTATGTATATTCTTAATTTTGTTAATGTTTTAAATTATTTTAAATATTTTAAAAGGAATCTAAAATAATAAACATAAAATATTTTATTAACTTCTATTTAATAAGCCAATTTATTTTAATGAATATCTTGTACAATTTTAGGTTATGAAAATAAAGATTGGTATATTCCAAGTCCAGCATTAAATGAAGACGAAGTTGATACAGCTAGTCTTTCAAAAGAATATATTCGTGAAACATTAAACTATTTTCGTAAGTATATAAAATTATAAAATATAACTCAATTAAAACTGAAAAGATAGATTGATTAATATTGATTACATTACCAATTAATTTAAATATTAGGTCTTACTACATGTTTACACATCATTTTTTGACTTCTATTATTTAATTACTTCTCTATTACAATTACTAATTATGCAATTAGATTTATTAAATTGAACTGACACATAAAATACTCATTAGTTTTTTTAATTTTATCTAGATAAATAATAGTTATTTATTTTCAAATTAATTTAAATTATGTATTATATTAAATATAATTTTATTCGTATAAATTTTACTTGTTGACTCAAAATATACTTGAACATATGGTACTTCATAATTTTTTTAATATAAGTATTAATTTATTGGAAGTTAACAATTATTTATTTTTAGTAGCTTTAAGTTCTAGGCTGGTATGTGTATGCCTGTTTAAGAATATAACTATTATATAATTAATATATCTATTAGTTATCTACAGTATTTTTTTTGGTTTATTGGTATTATATACATTTATAAAAAAAAAAAAAACTGAGCTAAATGATGAATGTTGGGTAGCCAGTTTGACTAGTTATGAATAAAAATGTTTCAATATGATGAGAGAAGGGGTTACTCTTGCTAAATCAATATTTTCTTGTTTTCATGCTTTAATTAGGACTAATTTTATTTAAATTTTTGTTTTTAAAAATAAATATTATACTATATTATTTAAGAAAAAAATTATACCTGATCAATAAAAAATAGGTATTTTTTTTTTTAAATTTGTGGTTATTATAAAACTACTCACTTTACCTTATTAATTACTATAATAATTCCAAGAAGTAAAATTATTAATTTTAATAATATTTTTCTACTTTGTTATTTTTTAGATATTATATTACTATATATTTAATTGCCTTCATTTTTGTTACTAAATTAATAAAAAAAAAATAGAAGGTGTAACAGAAATTATTTTTAAGCCATCATATCAATATTATACATAATTAATTGCGATAAATAATATTTATGAATAATGTATTTGATATTCACTGATATATTTTTTAAAAAAACTTTTAAGAATTAGTTGCATTTCTGTAACCATTTATTTATCATTTATTATGGGATCAACTTTTATATCATAACAGTTTTTTAATATTTCATGTGTTTTCGTTAATTGCAACTTATAAGTGATAGAAGATTAGGTTTGACCATAAATAAATAATATTTATTCTTTTCTTGAAAGAAGTCATTTTTTATGTATTTTACGTGTTATATAATTTATAAATTTCATCACATTTTGAACTGTAAGTAACATGAAACAAATTCAAACCATCAATACATTTTATAATACTGATAATATAAAAAAAAAAAATTAATTATTTTACTGTACTTTTGGGTAACAAGCATACTGCAGTGCATTATATATATATTTTGCTTGTAAGAAGCCGTACAAATGAAGGAATTCAAATTTATGAATCAAGTTTCTCTCCCTTATTGCATGTTCACCTCAAATAATAGTCATATGGTCAACTTTCTCTCGTATTTCCTATCTAACAATTTGATGAAATTTGATGCTAATATTGTACACATTGTTTTATGTACTATTCATTTTTAGTCAGACCATCTGTTGCTGTCAAAATGCATGCTATTTTATTTTTGACTTTGTTGATAAAAATATTTAATTACGTATTGGTTTAAATGTCATTAATTTTTTTTTTCATATTATGCATTTTTATGTATGTTGGATGTGTCTAATATCTTATCAATCTCTTATTGAATTTCATTTTTATTTTGAACTGAGTTGGTAGTAGTTTCCTAGTACCCACATAATGTAAAATGACATAATTCTACAACAATATTAACACTAGAAGTCTAGAAATAAGAATTATATGATTCGAAAGAATATATTATATAATTTAAAATGGTATTATTTCAATTTTCACAGATGAAGGATATTAACTAAATGCATATCAAGTGTATATTGATATGTGATAACATTAATCACCTATATTAATATAATAATATAAATTGGTAATTAAAAAATTATCAAATAACTTGTATAAATGTCTTGCCGTTGTATCTATTTTATTTTTTTAACTAATATGTTTATATATAAATTGAAATGGTCAAATTTTTTAATTTATTATCTTAAAAATATTATGTCTCGTTCTGTATACTAAAGATTTAAAATTTTATTTGTGAAAAAACAAGTGTTATCTGTATAGTCTAGTAGAAATTTAATCTACTTGTAGTATAATAACACAATTTAAAGATTATTGAAAGCGATTAAAATACTTTACAGCTTAAAGTATTGCGTATTTTCTTCAAAAAACGTGTAATGACTAAATGACCACACGATTGGCAAATAAAACAAAACGCAATTTGAATATGCAATGTGTCATGTGAACGAAATATTGTTCTACATTCACTTATTAGTAAATGTGTGTGGGTAGAATGGCATACAACATAATAAATAATAATATATATTACAATATTTTATGTTTGTAATTCTCAACAATTTATACAAATTTGTTATTTGTATAAGCACATCATCGTTCACCGGCATTATAAATTTATTTGTTGAGCTGGTTGGTTAGCACTCATTAAACACGATATCCCGTTGTTATTATTAAACATTATTGGTGAACGTACAATAATTACCGTGTTATCTGCATCACTGTTACGCGATGGGCTGGGCTTTACTCTCCGCAGTGGCACTGTGCCACCGCAATTTTTTCCGGCACCTTAGTCGTCTGCGTATGATCGTTTCGTGTGTGATATGTTATGTGGTGTGTCCAAAGTACGATCAGAGTTCCGGTGTTTAAATTCTTCAATTCTTGAGTGATTTTTTTTTTAAAGTATTCGCTACATTAAGTTATATAAAGTAAAAACCTTTTTGTGTCGTTCATTTTATCGGTTGTGATGAATATATTAATACTTTTTTTTTAATTACATAGGTAATTTTATAATGTATTTTTAAATTTTATGTAAGAAGTGAATGTTAGTTCGTTATTGCTAATTTTATTGTTTTTAAACGGTATTGTCATATTGATAAATGTACACGTACCCGAGCACAAAATCGACTTAGAATTACAAACAAAACTTTATTAAGTTATAGACTTATAGCCTGTCACACTTTCAGTATGACAGAAATATAATATAATAGTTTTAAACCTATAGATATCAGTTATTATTTTTTGTTAAAATAATTTGTAGTAGTTAACGAAACAACGATCACAATCTTTCGATCAATTAAATCGTTATTTAACTTACAATCATTTTAAAACATTGAGAAAATGTGTGGTCGTTTTTAGTTATGTATTGGAGTTGCGTAGTCTGATGATATTTAGGTAAGTCTCGTTTGATAATAGGATGACGATGATGACCTGACCCATGTGTTAATTATACATGTATAAAAAGACGAATACATATTGAATGAAGTACGAGCGTATTAGAATCTGTTAGTCATGCGTAGTAATTTTGTAACACGTGAGTAGAAAACTATATAGCCTTAAAGAATCTGTTCTAGTGGTTTTTTTTTTTTTACTTGAATGAAGTATAATTATTGTTTACAAGGAATGTTTTGAGAAATTGTCAATAGGTATAAGGTTTTAAATAGAAATATTCGCAATGTGCTATCAGTAGTTTAGACTTTGCTTTTGGACCGTAACAGTTATCAAACATGTTTCATAGATACGAATTATTCACATAATAATTTAACATTAAGTACCAAGAGATTTAATGTTTATAATAAGAGTTGATTTTCGTTTTTTTTTTTGTACTCGGTTGCGTGTGTCGTGCATTTTTATAAAACGTGTATTTTAATTTAGGAATTTTAATTATTGTGACGAAATGTGATAAATATTCGTAACTTATAATGAAATGAGTATCCGTGATGACCATGAAGATGTCAACCGCATACAGCTAGCGACCCGCAAAGATGACGGACATTCGTGCCATTTTAAAAATGTCGGCCCAACAAGTGCCGAATTCCCGTGTGACGCTAGTGAAGACTTTTGCGGAAACCCGCTGGTGGTTAACTCGAGAACGCTGGAAACTCAAGGCGAATCGCCTAAATGCATATATCACTTATTATCGCCGATCGTGCCGGCCAAGACACCTGTAGACCCTAGATTTTCTTCGGACAAACCTCCACGGATACGAATGATATTGCCTGAACTTAATAGAGGTAATAAATTACTGCGGTATAAATTCCCATTATTTAATGTTTAATTCAGACTTTAATTATTTAATAAAAAATAAAAATACATTTTTAATTTAAAAAAATAAATATATTGAATTAATAATATGTCTAATAATAATCAAGTTGAAATTTCATAGCATTGTTATGATGTGTGTTAAAAAATGTATACATTTACTTTTAGTGTATAATGTTAAAAATGAAAAAGTGTATGATTTCACTGCATTCGATAAGTTAAGTTTTATAGTAACTGGTCATCATCATAATTTATGAATCATAGTAAATATTTTCAATGTCAAAATTATTTTATATAGTTTCCATCCATACGCTCAACTGCTCAAGGACTTAAAAATATGAACTTGATTTCGGTATTTATTAACAGTTGTTATACTTCCTATACCCCACGTAAAAAAAATTTCACTTGCTAAAAATGCTCTAATTAAAATTAATTTACATTCAAAATGTATACAACTTTTCTTAAATAATTTATCTGATAAAAATACGACTAGTAAGTTATAAGCTGTAGATTTTTACTATACATTATATCGTAATCAAAATTTAAAATTGTGTTTATTTTTCAAACTTTATACTTTCTCATTGTTCTATTTAATTTCAATAGTAAAATAGCAAAGTACGTTTTAACCTTCACCTTTGTACAATCGATTCTGATAGAAATATGAATTATGATGTATATTATTATATTATGTAAATTGCTTATACTAAACTATACATGTATAAGAATGTTTAAAAAAACTTTTATTAAATAGTATTTAGTAGATGGATTTTTATCACATCAGTAATTTATTTCGTGTTCTATGTTAATTTAAATTTAAGTTTCTATGAGTTTAAAAGGTTATTTTTTAAAAACAATTTAATTATCCTAAATCTACACTCGCACAAAAATGTAGTATACAAATAATTCGGAAGAATGGAAAATTAAAAATACATGTGAAACTATTAACCCATGTTCCATTTGTTTCTTTAGATTTCATTCTAATACTCTTTTAATCAAATATAGGTAGTGAATTACCTACCTACTTAAATTTGTTATTACTTTGTGAGAATGCTCGTTATAACATGTTATCTCTGTTATCGTCTTAAACATTATTTAAGTAGTGCATACTGCATATATACTATAAAGGTAAATGTAATATTATTATAACGATATTTAGTTAGCATATTTACTACATTGGTGAATATTACTTAGTTCATGTGACTGTGAGAACATTTAGTAGTTTCGGTATTTCTTTGGTATGGGCCATATAATTGGGCAAATTATAAAAAAAAATAAGGATTTTAGTATTGATATGTAATTAATTTGTATTACATAACTAAACGTTTTGATTTAAATTTTTATCTTAAAATACACCACTATTCTGTTGTTAAAAACAATAAATAGGTCTTAAATTAGTACTCTTGTATATATATACATGAAATTATTTTTGAAAGCATTATTATGAGTAAATTTACGTAAGAATAATACTGGTTGTATAATAAAATTAAAATATAGTTTAAAATATTAAATTAACTAATTGTTTTTTTTTTAAATTTTTACTCAGAGGTGGTTTGTTTGAAATATGATTAAACATTAGTGTTTGGCCTAAGTTTATAGTTTTAAACAATAACTTCATTAATATTTCGTTACTTTGTCAATAAAGTTCGTTAAAGATTATTCTCGTTATCGCATGGCATCCTACCAAGAATATAATTATGCACGTCTTTTATACACATGTATTAGTATATGGTATTTTATATTTAAATGTATGACAGTGTGTCAGTGTATGTATATGATCTGAAGATAATCAATTTCACTGAAATTTTAGTAACTACTATAATATTATCGTTTTAAATTTAAATCTAAATATTAATCTGATTTATTAAAATTCTTACATCAATAATTCCCCCTTTAATTATGGCTAATTATAAATTTAAGTTAATTTGTAATTAATTAGTTACGGTACTTAAACGTTTAATTAATAGTTGTAGTATGATCATTTTTAATTGTTTATTAAATACTTAGTCACCTAAGTAATACTCAAGTTTTTAAAGTTGGCATTATTTTATTATTATTATTATTTTTTTTTTTTTTTTGAAAGATAAATCTTAATAAATTAATTGATTTTACATAAAATTATTAAAGTTAAAATAATTTTTTTAAAGTATTAAGCACTGGATTCTCTACAGTCTATATTGATTTCAACGCAGACCAGTGCCCAAGTTAATGCTGTTACAGGAATATGTAAAGCGGTTGTTGTCCCCCTGTGATTTTTTTCAAACTATTTATGTTACATGTCTATAATCCATATAATTTAATGACTGATGAATAATTATAATACAATTTTGATCTACTTCACTTTGGGTGAGATTTTTGTGCACTTAGTGTTATATTAATAATACTTACACATATGGATTTTAATGATAATAATTATTTGAAATCTGATTTATCGGAAATTATTTAACTATAGATGGATATTAATGTGATTTATTCCAATAATTTAAGTCCTGATTCTTAGTTTAATATCAGTAATTAATTGATTAAACTTAACACAAAATGAATGAATTATCCTAGCATCATTAGTGTTTTTAACATCATAATACTCATTGCGGTGATTTTTTAAGTAAAATCTATTGATTAAAGTTATAAAAAAACTTATCCTTCAATTATGAGTTTTCAAATAAATTTTAGATAGTTAAGTACTACAATACTCGTAGAACATTACTGCTGATTGTATACCAATACAATGAATAAAAAAAGAAATATGATTGTGATTTAACTTTTCCGATGGTCATTTTATTTCAACTATATTGTTTATAGTTGATATTGTTGTATCGTTTGTATTGGCGTATCAACCGCACTTAAATAAATCGCTATAAATAATTATCTTGATGTCAATTTGAAATTGTCTTTTTAATCGACTGCTGTGTGTTTAGTGAATACCATTAACAAATTCGTGTTATAATTAATTTATGAAACATGAATTTTATTACGTATTATATCCGTACCTTTAATTGATAACAACGTCATATAATATTTTACCATTATTTGATATTGAAAATAGTTCAGGCACACCGCAACTACAGCGCTTTTCCCGGAGAGTTGCGCTGTTGTGTCACACTCAACACTGCGAATGCGGTGTGATACAATGTTCAGTCTTGCACGCCCATTCGTCGTGTTATTTTTTCATATTGGTTCGTCTTGTAGTTATTATATCTTATTTATTTTCAGATCTGTATTTTTTTTTACTTTTTTTTTTGATTTATACATATTACAATATTTTGTTGACGCCGTCTAATATTAGCAATTCCTTTTAATTAAATTTTATGTTTTTAGTACACACTCTTATGTTTGTATTCAGCAATATAATAAACTAGTGTTATTGATTCGCGTGTAATAGTTGTGTATGTGCTCATCGAATGTAATTTCTTCGAAGACGTCTCTAGTATGTTATAAATATTATTTAAAATATGTGAAGTTTATCAAATATCAATCATGGTTATATAAATTGCAATAGTATGTTAGTGTTAAAATGATAAATTATTGATATATTTTGAAAAGCTTTGATATATAATAATATTTTAATTTTGTTTTTACTTCGACTTCTTCAAGTTTATGAAATTTAGCATTATAGCATTTTGTTATTTTTTTCTTATTGATTAACGTAAGATTTATAATAGTGCTTATAGAATCTGTATTATTAATCACGTAATCCACCGTTTTCTATTAAAAATAAATAAAAAATTAAAAGTTAATTTTGTTTTAAAGATAAACGTATAGTGTACTAGTAATTTTAATTATTGTAATAAATATAAAAGTTCGTTCATTAGACCTATATGAATATTTATCACTCATTATAATCTTCGTTAATGATCTCTGATTTTTTTTTCAGACAATAGTAAATATATTACTATTAGTATTTAATGAATTCTTTTTTAAATTTCAATACTAATTTTTGTTTGATTCAATACTAATAATTTTAATGTCAATGTAAATATTGAAGGTTTAAAAACACTTATTATAAAATAATAATTTTTACAAGAAAAAAATATACTTATAAGTTCTTCCACAATTTGTTCTAAAAACCATAGTACTTGAACTGTCATTAATATATTCCATTACAAATTTTTCGATCATGCGGATCATTAAAAACCTTGTCCTAATAACGTTTAAAACTTTTCTTGTGGCATATTGAAAAAAATAATTGTTTTTCATCTAAGCAGTTTGAATCAATATCTTTTTTTTTATTAAATCTTTATTTTTCGATACCATATAGAATTAAAAAAAAACCACCTTTCCACGTTTATTGTGTTTTTTTTTCATCTTTATAAATCTGTGACAATTGATGTGTCCTATATGAGCTGTGGCATCGCCGTCATCATCTTAGCAATAATATAATACAATAACGTTTTACTATATTTTTGTGTATAGTGCGAAACCTTGTGTGGTGATATATCGATAAGGATTAAGATTGAAAAAAAGTTTTCCTGTTTTTCCTTCAAGGGCGCTTTTTTTCGTACTATCAAGGACACGATAATAGAGACGTTTCAAACGTCAATTTTACGCTTATTAAATTAAACGCTCGAGTTATTTTTTTTCATTTTTTGCCATTAATAATAATATCGAATGCTGCGACCCAGAGCCATCCTTTCCTATAGTGTTATAAATTCTTATGTTCTAGGTATCTTTAGTGCAGTAATCCGTAAATGCAATTAAACGTCTATAGTGTTCACTTGCAAGTGTAGGTTAATTAATCAGTTGTTGGCATATAATTTTTTTTAATTTTCATCTCGATTTAATTGAAATGCTCAAATATATAGGTTATACATATGTACGGGTTTGAAAATAGAAAAATAACAACAAATCTTACATATATTACACAAATTGTTGAAAATTCCACTTTCAGCAGCATCATTCAATTGAAGCGGCGACCTCAGTGACTTGACACGGTTTTTACTCAAATCCGTAGCAATTTCACATGTTGTTTTACATA